TCAAGCACCAAAACAGATACTATCTATATCAATATACGCATTTTAGAATATGAACATTAAGATCTAAGTTAGCACTAATCAACTGAAGCACATAAACATCCACAATCCATGGGGATACAAAGACAATACAGCTCAAGTATACATTAACACCCACAAGCAATACACTATAAAGGTATTGGCATTGACCGACAATAGTTCGGTACCATATCAAGAATTGAGAACTAAAACAACGAGGTACAAACCAAAAAATAAATATTGATCAAGGTCGACAACATAGTGAATCGGTTTTACAAATAGCATTGAATATACTAACATAAGCCAGAGTTTATTAACTAAAACCAAAACCCGGCCACAAAATAACAAAGTTGTCGAGGAAGAGCCAATCCAGGCCAAACGAGCCACAAACCAGTTTCAACTCATGAACCGACACTACACAGGGTGCCAATATAAAAGTAAAATACCAAAATTAACACGCAACGTGAGAATTTACGGGGTAAGTCTCATAGATGAAGAACACGACATATTGATACAACGCATTTACGCTCAAGAAAAACATGGGCTCAATAATTAACACAGAACAGTCAACGACTTCTGCTCCCTATCAGAGGACAAAAGTAACACAAAGAACTCTACGTACGAGTGAGCTCGAGTTGCAGATACATATGTTTAAGTATAAGCCGTACAGCGAGAACTCAGTCAGGACAAGCAAACACAACACCAGCATATCAAACACCATCAAGCAATTACTCCCAACAATGAAGAAGGAGCGATGCAGCTGGATGACCAGCCTGCAACAGGGGTTATACCATTGGACCCAGCAATGAGTAAGTTCAAAGTGTCAATCGACAAGAACATATACGAGGGCAATGTGTACATCATATGCATATTAGTAGACAAGCTATACGCACTGTTGGCGTGTTGGGCGGGAAACTATAAGTAAATTGAGAGTGTTACTAAAGAGTAATGACTTCGAATATGAATTCATTACTGATCTCACACTCAGTTACATACTGCTAGTGGTTGTACTCGTGTTCAATCACTTGGGTTGGCCAGGCTAGAACCTCATATGATCAGTATGAGAAACCTTGTGCAGAACACTTTAGTACTCGGATCTAATTATACAAATAAATATATCACTTTCTCTGTTACGTACTCTCAGCCTCCGGCCTCGGCTCTCGGCTAGCCGGTGGCCCACCTATAAATATAATAATATGGGGAAGTACTAAATTACTCTATACGTGCTCTCGGACTGACCCACCTATACATATATTAATTTGATACTCTCGGCTGACGGCATAAAACGTTATTAACATAATTAGAATTATGTCTACTACTCAGTGGTTGTCAGCGTTATACGATAAGGCTATGGAGAACTGTGATAAAAGTTATCACGATGAGTGTGCTATGGTCAGTGACTTTATGCGAGTTAACACTAATTAGGTCTCGTGAAGGGAATAAAATCTCTGATCCAGTAACGGAAAAGTTACAAAAATTTAGTGAGATTACTAAGTGGCTAGCCAGCAAGTATGCTAGCATGGCTGATTGTCGTGACACAATAGAGTTCGTCTCAATAGCAAAAGAAATGTTTGCGAGCATGAACATGTCATTGGTACAGTATCTATCGCTCATACAATAATTGCTACGACAGACAGACGCAACAGAAGGGTCTCGTACAGAACTCAATAATATGCGTAGTTCCAAACAACTTTGGAAGGACTTCATTGATGTTGATGACTACGTTATGTTAATCATTGACAACTTGCGCAGTACTTCAGTAGACTACTTATTTACCGGAGAAGTGGCTCAACGACTTCCATGAAAGTAGAATGAACGTTGAAGTAAGAGCAACACGATTGCGGCGAACAATGCTAGAATATGAGAAACGGTACAAGAACACCGCAAGAGAGCCTATTAATTTGCAACTTCTCAAAGCATCACGCTGCCTCTGGGTAGGACTAACCAGAGGGAAGGACTACCAAGTTCAAGTCAAGGCCGGAGCCGAAAAGTACCAATCCAATACAGCAAAGACAAAGACCTTGCCTACACTGTGGTGTAGTGTAGACCCTTCGCCACATGCGTTCAGCAAGTATCCCAATAATGAAGAAAGCAACCGTCAGAAAGCGACAGCTCGTGTAGCACAGCAATCTCAACCCATCCATCATATAGACCAGTTAACTATCACTAACGGAAACAAGGTACAGGAATGGATGAAGAAATTTGACAGGCTTGGTGAGCGGAAGCTAACGTGTTAAATATGATAGATATTGTGTATGCTCAGACTTATGAAGAAATGTTGCTAATGAATGCAAATAATATTGTTTATACACTTCAAAAAAAAATTTATCCCGCGAGACCAAGGATTGAACATAGACACGCAAATCAATGCACTCGTCGATTTAGGATCACGACGCTCATGTATGGACAGAATTGTAGTGACCGAACTACAATTGTCGGTCAAAGCACATTTCGGTTATACATAACTAGCACAATCTGATACACGTGTACAACGTACAGGCTCAACATAGATGTACGATGTCAATTATGACGGCAGAAAAACGTCAAACTGCTTTGAGGTACTTGACCTCCCCAGTAAAAAGTCACCAATACTTTTAGGTATGGATATTTGACCGTACTTGAGCATCTATCTAGCAGATCCGATTAATCCACGAATACCAACAGATACAACCCGAGAATAACCTCTTACATCACATGAAAAAGAGCCCGAATATGAGCAACAAGGCTTCCGAGAATCGTTATTGGACTTATTAGATCAAAATAGAATATCCCCCCTGACGTACACTGCAACTTGCTAGGGTCAGGAGTAGAGATACCAAGACAAGAAGTCAAAGTCAAAAACATGAGACAGGCTTAGGTAAACTTTGTTCCACACAAGTGCATACCACAAAAAGATGACAACGTTCAAAAGTAGGCACGGGATGGGCACATATACAAGAGAACAAAACCAACACAGGTGAATCTGCCACTTCTATCAACAGGTGAATATGAACAAACAGGATTACTGAGAAAGTACGCTCATGTTTGGACTTAAGAGAAGTCAATTATCAACATGAGCAAGACAAGTTCGTATTGCCGACAATAAAAGAAGTACTCCACAACCTACAAGGTGCACAATTCTTTTTTAAATTGCACTTCACAGGAGGAATTTTCGTGTACACGAAAATAGTCAACACATCTTTACTCTTTCATGAAGAAGAGCACAGTATTCACTTGAGCCAACACCATTTGGACTACACTCGCTAACAGCACAGTTTGAAAGAGTCATGGCAAACCTACCCACTGACGTTAAAGATGTACAGACATATGTAGATGACATAGTCATTACAAGCCCCGCAAAAGAGAACCGCAGGAAGACAGTAAAGACTCAATTCTGCCAACTTTAGGCTGACCCACAACAAATGTGCATTCGCAGTCAAGACAGTCGATGTTCTTGGCGTCAAAGTTACAACACAAGGGCTTAAAACAAACCCAGAAAGACAAAAACTCATGATTAACCGGCCTCTGCAGAGAACCAAAAGGGACTTACCTCGGGCAGTCGGACTAGCAAACTACCTGCAGGACCATATACCCTAGTTCGCATGCACAACGAAACACTTCCGTAATCTCATGAAGAGAAAATGGGCCAGAACATAGCATATTTTTGAACACTTAAATTCAAAAAGAGATGAGAAGAACTCAGAGAATCTATCGCATGTTCAGCAGCAATATCTTACTCAGTGGATGGCGTACCGTTTCAAATCATGAATGACGCAAGTGGCTACGGAATAGGAGGATGCCTATTTCAAATCATAGACGGGGTCAGACGAGATATACTCTATTTCTTGAAAGGCTTAAGCTACGCACAACAGCGATACGGAACGAACGCGAAAGAGTTACTAGCGCTGGTATACAGCCTAGAACACTTTTCTGAATACATCAAAGGATGCGATACAACGCTGTGGACAGATCATACAGCGACATGCCCGATGGATCATCAGCAAACACTGCTTCCCATGATAGCAAAGAGGATAGCAAAAACGATCCACCACCACCTCACAATCATCTATTTGCCAGGCAAAGACAATCAAGTTGCCGGCATGCCGCCTCTCCGTATCAAAGGATATCTCATCACGCCAACGCTAGTAGGATTCCCAAATACGAACAACTCTCAACAGACGTCTACTTCTCCTTCCCATGCTCATGACGGCAGAGCTCTCTGACATCTGACCACAGCCTTCCAAATACTTAGAATTTCAACTGTCCTAGGGCATACCGGGTATCGACTTTGTAAAACACATGGACCATCTCGTGGCAGCATTACTCCAGGCTATAGTGTCTTTCCGGGTGTATGGGGTTCATGGATTCAGCTGGCGCCATCCGCGAAATCGGTTGAAAATATTCAAGACATTCATTCTTTCAACGGCCACCTATGGTCTGAACTTTATTGCATGGGCTCCACCTATCTGGCATGCCCCGTTGAAGCTGCTGTACGAGCGGTACAACTCAGCACCAATTCAAGCAGTAGCCATCATAAAAGGCACTGTATTTCCGAAACCCCTGAGAGACTTCAGGTCTCAGGCCAGACCTTACAGCAAGAAACCCTATTTGATTTATAGAAGTCATCAGAGTTAGATCACTCCGGAGAGTTAATCAAGTTGCTTAAAATAATACCGAGAGTTGAGTTAAAACTAAACCGACTTCCGAGAGCAGATTAAATTTCTCGACCGACTCCCGAGAGTGTATTAAATCTGTCAACCGCAACATTCTAAAAATAGTTGCGGTTCTATGCGAGTCACAACCTATGCGGAAAGGCATCATGTGATCAGCGTGAGATTTAGTTGCAGCGAAGTCGAAATAGAATACCATCGAAGTGTTAAAGTGTTCTGCAGAAGGTTTCTCATACTGACCATATGAGGTTTTACCCTGGCCAGCCCAAGTGGCTGAACACTAGCACAAACACTTTAGGTATAAAATCAAAGGTGAGGTCAGAAATAAGTACATACATTTGTACTCTATTTAAGGTCGACTACATCGCACTCTAACAACCCCCATACCAGCACACACGGCTTCTTCGCTTCTGCGGTTTACATCCAACACGTTTGTGGAGTACCTTGGTGGCTGCCTGGGACTACATCTTGACTCGATCAACGGTACAAGTCCACTCGTCCCAATTACGAGACCCGCTTGGACAGCAACAGACCTCCGGACAAATTCCAGTTCAGTATTTCCGCTTATCTAGAATCAAAAAGAACTTTGTAACCTCCACGAGCAGATCTGGCATAATACAATACAACGTCTCACAACTAATGAGATAGCAGACAAGGCTCGCCGCCAATACTACTATCGACTTATAAGGGAATAACTTCCCACCACGGACCGGGACAAGCCCTTCCATGATAGGTTTACCCATTGCCGTGAAAACACCCCAATCCACCTTTATGCCATGATAGTAACCAACACTTTCCGGTTCAAATTGCTTGACTATCGTACTGGACAATGCTGTTTATTCCTGACACAATGGTTGCGTGCTAGAGGTTTGCTTCAGGACTGGCGCGCTGTTTGCGGGTGAACCTACACTTGATCATCTTAATTTAAGCTGGAATTACCGCAGCTGCTGGCACCAGACTTGCCTTCCAATTGCTCCTCATCAAGCGGTTTAAAATGTACTCATTCCAATTACAAGTTTTTTAGAGGTCCTGTATCATTATTTTTGTCACTACCAAAGATCCATCAAGAGGTGACGGTGAGAAGGTCTGGTGGAAGGTTTGTTGTGTTGATCGGAAGCTGTTCATTCCTGACACAATGGTTGCGTGCTAGAGGTTTGCTTCGGGACTGGCGCGCTGTTTGCGGGTGAACCGCGGTGGACCTTTGGAAGCAGAAGGGAGGTCAGCAAGGTGCGGATGAAAATCGATGTCGTCATTCTTGGGAAGTTTTGCGATATACTTCACGAACTTGTCATTATATGCGCTACTAAATATGCTTGCTTGTCCCGATATGGCATTAGAGGACTGACGTAGATTGGTTGCTTGTTGTGTTTAGAAGTCGGCGGTGGACATAGATGCTTTGCGGGCGGCCTTGTTGACGGCGCAGAGCGTGGTGGAGTGCATACTCTTGTCGATGGCAAGTTGAAGGCGTACATAGAGACCGGGTATTGCAAGGGCAGATCATGGGGTAGGGGTGGGTATTGGACAACAAGGTGTGGTGTTGATGTCGTCGTTTTCGTCTAGAGGGACCGGCAGGGCATAAATTTCTCTAGAGGGGGTAGGCAGTTGTACGATATGGTGACAGGGGTATCGCAGTATCTGTAGATAATTTGGAGTTGCTCAGGTGCGAAGTAGGGCCTGGCTTTACAACCAGAGTGGTGCCAGAGGGGAATATATCTTCATTGAATCGCATGTGGCGGGAGTTGATGATCTGTCTGGTGGCAAGAGAATGGGTCATGGGGCTATGCGGATGCCCACGCGGCACTTGAAGCGGATGCTTTCCTGGTTGTCATGATCCTAGCTGATCGTCATGTAGTCATACGCGCGAAGGGTATTGGACGACAAGGTGGCCGAAGTAGGCTTCATAGGGACTGAGGTTGCCATGGTTGGTGACGCGATGGGAGATGTTGCGGATGTGAGAGACATGAGATTTGACTTCGGCCCATATATGGCGAGGCTTTTGGGCTTGTGCGACTATACAGAGAGCGATGTTCGTGTTTGTCTGATGGGCAATGTGCGCGTTCGACCCCACCATTCATGGCGGAGTCGCCGGTAGCGTTGACGAGAGTCAGCAAGTGTTAAAGGAGGTTGACACGTTTGAACTATTGGCGATTACCTCTGAAGCTGTGGAAGTTAGAGTGGGTAGGCAGTTGTACGATATGGTGACAGGGGTATCGCAGTATCTGTAGATAATTTGGAGTTGCTCAGGTGCGAAGTAGGGCCTGGCTTTACAACCAGAGTGGTGCCAGAGGTGAATACATCTTCATTGAATCGCATGTGGCGGGAGTTGATGATCTGTCCGGTGGTAAGAGAATGGGTCATGGGGCTATGCGGATGCCCACGCGGCACTTGAAGCGGATGCTTTCCTGGTTGTCATGATCCTAGCTGATCGTCATGTAGTCATACGCGCGAAGGGTATTGGACGACATAGTGGCCGAAGTAGGCTTCATAGGAACTGAGGTTGCCATGGTTGGTGACGCGATGGGAGATGTTGCGGATGTGAGAGACATGAGATTTGACTTCGGCCCATATATGGCGAGGCTTTTGGGCTT